AAAATCCAGAATAGGAAGGGTAAAAAATCAGAAGCGCAAGAAGAGGCAATTGATGGATAGTTACTACTATCTAATGATAGGTGCATATTGTAACATGTTAGATTGATGGTGCAGTGTGAGACAATTAATATTTTAAGCCGCAAAGTGATAAAAAGATGTAAGTTTTAGGGTACAAAGTGGAATTTTTCCTAAAAATTTTTGTAAAATAAAGATAAAATTATCATTCAATCTAATGAGGTACCCACAAAACATGATTGTAAGGATCGACTCCGCTTACTTTAGTTGTAACTTGACCCGATTAGTTTGAAAAAGAAAACTTGAATTTTTAATACCAAATATTTATATATTATTTGAAAAAATACCAATAAGTAATACTTTTTCTCTTAAAAAACAATTGACTCCTATTAAGTTTGTAATAGAACAATTAAGTTGTACTTTTCTTTCTCACTTACAGAGCCTCAAAGAGGACATCTATTTTAACACAACACAGGCAATAGATCTACATTAGCTAGCGCTTCACCAAGTTCTTCAAACTCTGTTGATGAAGAAAATATTTGGTGCTTGCAAGGCACCACCACGTGACCCTGTCTTTTTATGTACATCACAATGTCCAACATATTGTATGTTAATCTAGAATATATTTTGTGTGTGATGTACAAAAGAAGGCAAGGTCACATAGTACCTTGCAAGCATTAAATAATTTCTGCTATCGATGGTATTCATATTCAATGAGTTATATCTACTCCCAAAATATCTATTCTTATTTTATACCGATTCAATTAGTAATTAAATCTTACGCAATCCTTATCAATCATAGAAAAATTAGTAATTATCTATATCCAAAGGCACTATGTTACTCGTAAAAAATTGTATATATAATACAATGATCAGATTGACATGTATAGGTGTTTGAACTTATGAGGGTATATTTTTCCCCCCAAATTTCACACACTTTCCCTCCCAAATTTTACAAACCCAACACAAATATTCCACAACATATAGCTACACATACTTCAGTACACACTCACTACAGATACACACACACACACATTATATATACACTCCAACTATACACGCACACTCCAATACACGTATAGTATCATAATTTAATATTTAGTGACTTCAATCACGGGATATCGCTAGTATATATATATCATTAAACCTTTATATAACTAAAATCATGTTGTAAGTACTGCAGCATATTAATTCTAACATACAATTCATATGTTCCTTCAACCTGCATATTTTATTACTTTGGAAGGTTATTTTTTTTTCACAACCAACACAGAACAAACTTCGGTTCACGAAGCCTATCATGTGAAAAATCCACCTAGCCAGTTTTCCTTTTCGAATTGGCCCAACTTATTTAGTGGTCAACATTTAAGACGCTAACGCAAGCTTTTTAGAGCAGACAAATTGTACACACAGACACCAACCTCACAAAGTGGTCCTTGACAGTTGTGCTCTGCCAGACAAAGGATCGTTCACAGAAGAGGCTGGTCAACGATGTTCGGTGACGGGCCCAGGTCAAGTGAATAGACAAAATTGGAAAAATGAAGAGAAATACATATAGTAATTTCATTAATTTTTAAGAATATGATGCTATTTTTGTCTTTTAAAGATCTAATTATTATATTTTATCATATTTTAAATTTGAATTTATCCTCATTTAAATTTGAGTCTCTCTATTAGAAATGTCTATACCAAATCAAAATTTTGACCATTTTTTCTACTCAACTTTAGGTAAGGATTTGAATTTTCATTGGAGATGATTTGATGAGTGAAACTATAGAAATACCCTTACCAAAAGGATAAACAAAAAAAAACTTTAAATTTCATAAGTTTTTTTTCAACTTAGAAATGACTAGGGTGATAAGCCTATTTTTGATATTTCTAGATGGATAAATTATAAAAATAATATCTAAACTAAAAAAGAAGAAGAAGATGAATAAATAATACGACAACGACCAGAAGAAGGGGATGAAGTTGGGGGTGTTTATGGGTTGAGTTGAAATTTTAACGTCCTATGAAATTTTTTTCGGATTGGGCTTAGGTAAAGTAGGCTCAAATATTTATTTGAGTGAGTTATTAGTCAAGCCAGGCAAGGGTAGGAGTAAACTACTAGCAAGCCAACCCGTCACTCACGGAGCGGGTCTTGTGGGGTAGGCCTTGTTTTTTTTTAATATACATCTTCATTTAAAAAGTTTCTAATTTAGTAGTTTTATAAATTAATTTTTAGATGAAAAGTAGAGTTAAAATGGATAAAAAATAAATAAAAAATGATTTTATTTGAGAGGAATTATTTATTTTTTAAGTAAAAATACTAAATAATACCCTAAATTACTCAACTTAGTATTTAAGTAAATAATATTTTTGTGAGATGAATATACACCTAATTTTTAATGATCAATTTTTTTTCAAATAAAATGGATGGACGAGCGTACAAACAAGTTCTTAAGCCAAGTTTTAACAGGTTTTGAGAGTGGGCTAATGAGCCGAGTAATGCCTTAGGGCAGGCCTAAGTCTCCTGCATTGAGGTCATGTTCGGATAAGCATGGTATTGTGTTTATCGAATCCCAAATCTATTTTTTGTAGACTGAATAACTGGTCCCATGGATCAACTCGACCATAGACACCCTAGCGATGTAAGGTTCGAGCTACACGCACAGTCTCACAGACAACTCGAGAGAGTGGGTCCCATGTAACATGGCCATGAAAAAGACTAAACAATTGATGTGGGCTCCAATCATTCTGTTTTGTTTGGCTGTTAGCCTGCTACCAAAGGTACCCATTGCATTGCCGTACGTTGTGCTCTCATTTTCTAGTGTGCTACTACTACATCTTTTGTTCCGTAGGTATAAACTAATTATATCGATAAAAAAAAAAAAATAGAAGAAAGTTCAAAACACGTCGGCCAGAGTATACAAAAAAATTGTCAAAGAGATTCTTTCATGCCTACCGTTGAACTAAAAAATAAATAAATAAATAAATAAATAAATTTCTACCCCAAATTTGTTAGTTAGTTTGTAACTTCAATTTCTTTGTATAATTTTGTTGTTTAACATTTGTTTTTCTCGCATATTACGAAAATATTAAAGTGATCAAATTTTGAAAAATCAAATATGTGATCCAAATAATATGACAAATTCACACAACTAACGAGATATAATTGAACCCCTTATTTGTTTGGGGTGAGTAATTGTTGAACTCACCAAATTCAAATTTAAGCCTCAAATTTGGTTAAAGTTATGATTTTATATTTAATGGTTTGTTTGGTAATAATAATAGAAAAAAGAAAGGATGAAGTTTGACTTTTCATCATTTGAGAAAATAAAAATAATTTTACTCTTTTTTGTTTGGTACAAAAGATGAAAAATAAAATACATATTTTTTTATTATTTTATTTGACATAAGAAGAAAAATGGATAAAAATCACTTCCAAATAATTACCTTAACATATTTATGGTAATTTGAAAAAAACTACGGGTTATTTGTATTCTTCGGATACCTCGACCCTCACATTACAATTCTTGGCTCACTATTGTCCAAATCAGTTGTGCACTAGGTTTAATGTGAATCGAATCGTTTAGTCATCCTTGGTAATTGGAAAAATGAGGACCATAGAAATACGTGTCACTCAATCAAAGAAAAATAATGTAGAGTTGATTGAAATGGACATTAAATACTTTTCAAGTGATCTCCAAATCACTAATATAGTTATCAAAATTGTGAAAATAAATATGTAAGTTCCAGATTCAAGTAATACACGATCAATTCTAATCACTTTGATTTGGACCGCCCTAATTGGGTCCACTTGTACATAGTAAATGACAAACTAAGTGGACCCCATGATAATTATTATTTTTTTTCCAATCGGTGATTCTAAAATCTGAACCTTTATTTGCCCTAAAAGAAATTTGAACCTTGGAGGTTAAGTAGGTAATTTTAGGCAACTTTTGCACCATACTTCCATTCTCCTTCCGGTCGATTTTCGGAGAGATTAAAAATGCTGGACAGAAGGGATGCATTTTCCACCCCCTTTCTTTTCATTTCAATTTTTCTTCTTCACCAAACAATTCCATCCTCTTCATTCTGCGTCAAACCAAACAGCCTCGAAGTGCAATTGTTGGGAAGAAAATGGAGGCGGACCTGGCGCAGTACCAGTTGCCGAAGTAGTGTGTTTTTTTGAAAATTTTGAGATTTTTTACTTCTTTTGTTTTTGCTTTGTATTGTACGGAATTTTGGTGAGTCTAAGAACTCGTTTAACTTTTGAACCCAATTTTTCATCCATCCTGTTGTTATATTTTTCGCTGTAATTTGTGTTATTCCTCGTGTTTGGTGCGATCTTATCAGAGCTAGAGTTTTGAAATTTGAGAGTTGTGCTGAAGTTCGGTTTTGAAATTTGGGTCTTTTTTCCTTGTGGTGTTCTTGGATGTAGAGTTGCTAGTTTCAAGCATCTACAACAAGAAACCCTGGGTTGAACATAATCTAAATGAAGCATTGGCCAACACAATACTAGTTGGAAGAAAGATGATACTTTGCACTGGAGGAGGGTTTATTCGTTTGAAAGACATAGCTTTCCAACATTGAAATCTATTGTTGACGGAGAAAACAAGCTCAAATACAATTAACGGGAAAATTTGAAAAGCCCTTCAAGGATCAATGTCATGGCATTAGAAGAAATTTTTCAAGTGAATTCCTTCCAATCTATTTCTGTTATGACCTCATCGGAAATCATATAAATACAACTTCTATTTGATATAACTATTTGTATAAATATTTTACGATTAACAAGCAACGCCCTCTTATACAGATTATGAATTAATCTACTACAACTATAGAATATCACTCTTTCGCAAATTATTGCATATAATATGGAAACGATTCCAAATTATAATAATTTAAAACTACAATGTCTCAACAAAAACAATCACAAAACATGAGGGGTTGATACTGAAATATAAGTAATTATTTGTCAAAATACAATAAACATTCCACTTTTAACGTCCTACGTTAAGAAGTGATTCAGTAGACATAGCATTAGCAGAAACACATGATGAAGGTAATGTCATTGCAAATGCATTTGAAACTTCGTTCCCAAATAATGCAGTCATGCCAGCACCTTCAATATCCATAAATACTTCGGGCAAGATAACTTCCCCATCCAAATACTGCCTCACTTGCCTCATGCTAGGCCTAGTCATCGGATTATAGTGCGAACAAAGCAGGCCTAGCTTCAAAACCAACTTTATTTCCTCTACCACAAAATCACCTTCCAATCTCGGATCAGTTGCATCAAGAATTGCTCCTTCTTTCCATTTCTCCAAAACCCACCGAACCAAACTCATATCATCAATCAATCCCTGGACCTTTAGAGGTCTTTGTCCGCAAGCTACTTCCAGCATAAATGCCCCGAAAGCAAAGACATCTGTACTAGTACTTGCCTTGCCAGTTCTGACAAGCTCTGGTGCAATATATCCATAAGTTCCAACCACATGGGTTGTTCTAGGATTTTCTCCTTGATCATACAATCTAGCAAGCCCGAAGTCTCCTAGCCTTCCATTGAAATTGGCATCCAGAAGGACATTACTTGCCTTGACATCTTTGTGAAGAACAACTTTTTCCCACCCTTCATGCAGATATAGAAGCCCTGATGCTATTCCTCTGATGATTCGATACCGTTGAGCCCAATTAAGGCTTTGTTTTTCGTTACTGTGTAAAAACTTGTCAAGACTACCATTGGGCATATAATCATAGACCAATAGAAGCTCTCCCTTTCTCCGGCAATAGCCGAGGAGGAGGACCAAGTTCCTATGTCTTAGCCTACCCATGCTAGCAATTTCAGCCACGAATTCCTTCATCCCTTGTTTTGAATCATGGGAGACTCTTTTGACTGCTACTTGTGCATTGGAAGAAGGAAGTACCCCTCTGTAAACCTGTCCAAAACCTCCTACTCCAAGAAGTTCTTTGTGGTTGAACCCATTGGTTGCTTTGTAGAGATCCTTGTAGGAGAACCTCTGAGGCCCATATTCCAATTCCCAATCCTCGAGTATTTCTGCATATTTTCTTCTCCTTTGGATGTAAAGAATCCCAGCCAAAGTGATGATCAGCACAACCAGTACTGTCGAGGCCGAGATTGCAAGATCTCGATGTAATTTTCGTTTGGATTTTCTGGGCCAGGTAACGGAAGGAAGTTTTGATAGGTCTAGGCTTTGTGCTGGCCCAGTTTTGTTGAAGCTCCACCCCAGAATGTCGTGGTTGCCTGTCGAACCTTCAATTGGTCCTGTAGCTGCAGAGAAACCAACATACATAGAGTCCAAGAAAACTGGAGAGAGATCAATGGGAGCCGATAAGAGAGGTTTATTTGGTTTCGCGATTCTGATGGGAGCTAATGTAACGGTGATAATCTTTTTCACTCCATCATAATCTATCCAAACCTGCGTTGGGGTTTTAGTTGTAAGATCCAAGCTCTTGTTGATCCCTTCTGTATAGGAAAAAAATGACGCCCGAGCCGATACATTGGATATTAGACTGTTCACATCAATTCCGACATGATTGTTGTCTATATCTTTCATATCAGGGTTCATATTAATATCAAACTCAACTGCAAGTACATGGTTGGAGGTAAGGCCATTGTTGAAAGAATTGAAAACACCCAGGAACTGGTCAGGCATGCCTCGCTGGGTGAAGCCCAGACATGGTGTGATGGTGAAGGCAAAGCCATGGCCGGGGGATGTCCCAGTTTAGGAACAATGGCGAAGATGAAATAGGTGGAAAATGAAAGAGACTGTGCCGACCCAGATGAGGAAGACGTGTTAAATTTGACAGGAGTTTGGCAGAAAGCATGGCCAGTATCTTGCTTTGAAGTGGTTGTTATCTGCAATAGGCCATTGGGAAGGATCTCAGGCGAGACCATCAAGGTACAGTTTAGCTCCACGGAAGCCATGGTAGATGAACTGGTCTGCATCTTGGGCCAAGGCCAAGAGTTTTGTGGATATAAGGAGGAATGTCATGAGATTAATAAGAGACCATGGAGCCATTAGAGAAGTGAGAGAAGGTTTCTTCTGTCTAGAAAATTGAAGACTTTGAATGGCCAAAACGTTCATCTGGTCAAATTATATCATTTGATGAGGACCAGTAAAATTATATCATTTAATGGTTGCATAGTATTGTTAGGTGTTACAATCCTTCAATGATAATTCAGGATACTTGTGCCGTGAGAAGTAGGATGAAGTCATAAAGACTAGCACTAATGGGTCATTCTACATTCTCCGAGAATATAAGGCCGTCGAATCTGTATTTTTCTTAGTTTTTTTCAATTATAAATTCAATTACTAGCTGTAAAAAACCAGCGGTGTTAAGTCCGGTTCGAATCATATTCTTTTGTATTCATATCGACTATTAATTAATTTTAATTCAATTCATTTAATTAATTATGTCAAATGTTTTGATAAAATATGTGATAAAAATAATAAAATTCAGTCACTTTATTCATATAATAGTAATTAAATATGTTTATTATCAAATACGAATAGTCACACTTATTATTATTTTTATCAAGTCATATTATTGTGAATTTGTATCAAAAACTAGTTTAACTTAACTTATTAAATTCTTATCAATTTTTGAATTGTTTTAACCTATTGTCGCGTAGCAGAATTTGCAAACATTCTTACTGGGATTAACGTAAGAATGTTCAACTTGATTGGACTTATCTTTCATCGCCTAATAAAGAAAAAGGAATAATCCATAATAGTATCTGAGTTATATCTGCATGGTTCCAAGAGGAAGCCTCTAGGATACAGCAACACAAAAAAAATCTACATTTTATGGCCGTGGACTTGTATGGCTGCCGTTACCCTGACGTTTCTATCCAGACACATAAGTCATGATAGTAGTTTACACATTTATTTGATTTCCACAAGAGGCCCCACAACAGACCTCCAAAAAGAAAAAAAAAACCCAAAAAATAGGCAATAAGGGATTCATCCAAGTATATATATATAGAGAGAGAGAGGCTAGTTTTTTTTGGGGATAATAATGGTATAAGGGGGTGGAATTAAAAAAAACAATACGTAGGCTCCAATAAAACTTTGTTTGTTTGGCTTTTTCTATGTAGTACTAATTTTTGGATTGTAATAATAACCTGCAATATACACTAGCCATAAACCCATGTAGATGGGTAGATGTAATACCACCTCTTTGGTGGTATTATAAATCGGTGTAAGGCCATCAACAGTATGAGGTCATAGTATTTGGTGGTATTATAAATCGGTGTAAGGCCACCGACAGTATGAGGTCATAGATTTACTATGGTACCTTTCCATACCTACACCTCATAAAATCAAACCCTTTTGCACTCTGCAATTCCTCTCGCTGAAGAAGATGACGAAGGGGCATCATTTGGCTCCGGTTTTCTACCCCCAAGGACGGAGTCATTAGTGAGCTACGGTTGACTGAAGTCCAGAGTAAAAAAAAAATTATCACTTTCATACAAGATTACTAGTACCAGTCCACTAAATCACCAATCATTAGTCTAGTTTTTCAAAACTCGTAAGGCTTAAGCCCCAATAATCATGGAAAGAAAGAGTTTTTCGGGGTTTCTATTCCTATTTTAATCGGAATAGAGAGTGGATTACGCCAACATCAAGCATCTCGATTTCGTCTGTATCATTCATTCGTCTTCTGGTTCTACTTGACTAAGCTTCTTCCAAGAACCACAAACAGGGATTACGCCTAAGCTGTGTGAGGTATATCATATATTCATACGTTATTTGAGTTGTTTTATCTAATTTTTTGTTGATTATTTTTTAACTAGAATTGTAAAATCATTGTTGTTTTGTTGATTTGTTTCTCTAATTTTCAACCCTTATCTACTTTATTAGGATAAAAAATCAAGAACGAAAAAGAACAAAAACAATTTTTTCGTTCTTCAAAAAGAAAAGTGGAGAAAAAACATCAAATAACGGAAGCAATTGATACAGATTCAATAATAGATGCCTTTTATTCTAAGAAAAATCGAAGAGTCCAATTTCATTATTAAGTGTTTATGAATTTACATTTGTATTATTGTATATATGTTTATGAATTTATATTTGTATTTTGTTAGTTGTATAAATGCTTAACTTAGTTCGAGATAAACAAAAATCTTAACTCCGTCCATGTCTACCCCAACCAGATAACATCTCTCACCGAGAAAGCTCTCCTCTTTTCTCACCCATATTTATCCCTCAACCCCATGAACCCCTAGTAACTGATTTCTACAAACAGAAACTAACAAGGGTTTTTAGGTAGAAGATTTTGGAATTATATGTCGTATACACACATACCCCAATTCCTGATAACGATTGTACCTACAACCCCCATTCGCTGCAATCCACCTTTTCTTACCCCCATCTGCGTACACATGGGGTGTGTTTCTGTTTCTACCATGACATAGAGAATGGGTATTGAATTTCTATGATAAAAAAATTCAGTGGAATTGGTTGGGTTTTCCAGAGAGTTGCTTCAAAAAGCCCAAAAATGCCATATCTTGAATTTGTGATTTTTTTACCAGGCTTTTTGATTGGATGCATTTGTGGATAATTTTGGTGGCCTTCAACATCATTGTCTAATTTTATGTTCTTTTGGGTTTTTTTTTTCTATTGAATTTTTTTTTCTTAAAACATTGGCATATGTTATTGTCGTTGAACTATATTTTGTTATTTTACATTTTTGATTATAATTCCCTTTTTTTTTTTTTGCAGAGATTTATAGCAGCTAGAACGTGTTAATTTTATCCCCAATTCCTCTGGGNAACAAAAACAATTTTTTCGTTCTTCAAAAAGAAAAGTGGAGAAAAAACATCAAATAACGGAAGCAATTGATACAGATTCAATAATAGATGCCTTTTATTCTAAGAAAAATCGAAGAGTCCAATTTCATTATTAAGTGTTTATGAATTTACATTTGTATTATTGTATATATGTTTATGAATTTATATTTGTATTTTGTTAGTTGTATAAATGCTTAACTTAGTTCGAGATAAACAAAAATCTTAACTCCGTCCATGTCTACCCCAACCAGATAACATCTCTCACCGAGAAAGCTCTCCTCTTTTCTCACCCATATTTATCCCTCAACCCCATGAACCCCTAGTAACTGATTTCTACAAACAGAAACTAACAAGGGTTTTTAGGTAGAAGATTTTGGAATTATATGTCGTATACACACATACCCCAATTCCTGATAACGATTGTACCTACAACCCCCATTCGCTGCAATCCACCTTTTCTTACCCCCATCTGCGTACACATGGGGTGTGTTTCTGTTTCTACCATGACATAGAGAATGGGTATTGAATTTCTATGATAAAAAAATTCAGTGGAATTGGTTGGGTTTTCCAGAGAGTTGCTTCAAAAAGCCCAAAAATGCCATATCTTGAATTTGTGATTTTTTTACCAGGCTTTTTGATTGGATGCATTTGTGGATAATTTTGGTGGCCTTCAACATCATTGTCTAATTTTATGTTCTTTTGGGTTTTTTTTTTCTATTGAATTTTTTTTTCTTAAAACATTGGCATATGTTATTGTCGTTGAACTATATTTTGTTATTTTACATTTTTGATTATAATTCCCTTTTTTTTTTTTTGCAGAGATTTATAGCAGCTAGAACGTGTTAATTTTATCCCCAATTCCTCTGGGTCAGAACGAAGAGGTTATCGTCATCGAGGATTAATCTTTGCCAGTTGACTATATGAACTTTATAAATTATATTATGTTGTACGATCACAATGGGTAACCCATTATAGGGATGACTACACAAGCCACAATTTTGCAAATGTAAGTAGAGTTGTGTGCTTGTACTAAGGTTGACAAGAATGGGTAGCAGAGTATTTTGTATAAGTTGGCTATATAATCTAATGGTTGTGCAATTAATTTTCACTATGGCTATGGATAGCCAATTTTGGGGATGTTCCTACTGAAATATGCACAGGTTATTTAATCAACCACTTTTTAATTTATAATGATTTTGTTGCATTTCTAAAATGTGTGTTAATAAGAGTTATGATAATTTATGTGGATTTTTTATTAGAGCCATTTTTTTTTTTGGTAGGAATTGCCATAGCAAATGTTATAACAAAAATATTGCAAAATCGTTACACAAACAGAGTAATGGAATGAATGATATTAAGAGTAAAATTGTATATTTGCTATATGAGATGTTATAGAATAGATATTGTTTATGAGACGCATCATAGTACCAATTAAACAAACAAACATGGGAGGAGATTGTCATACTTTTTCTTACTAGTACTACTTTACATAGGTATTAGAAATGTAAGGAATACATTTCACAATCTCATGCATAGCAATTCCCCAAACAAACAGGCTATAGGGGTAATTCGTGTCTGAAAGTATAGTGCAATACAAATAGTTTTGAGATGGATGTTGATGACTATTGAATGAGTCTATTATAACTCTTTCGATATTAAATTAATCATCGCGTATTTGAGAGGAATTCATTGTATTGAGATGGAATTTACCGCTAAAAAAAAAGAATTCTTTATATAAATTCTAGTGGACCCGTGGTGTTTTATGACGGCTGGGGTACAGAGAGGTTCTTCACTCTAAGTTGGAAGAGTGATTACCTAGATATTGGGAGTGCATTTCTTTCATGTCTTTTAAACTAGTAATTAATTGAATTTTCTTCTCTTAAAAAGAGAGTTGTTGAAAAAAGGGGCTGCAATAGCTCCATTTGCGAGGGTTTGAAGGATGTTTTTGTGCCAGTGTGTTGTTGGAAATTATCAAGATAAGTTAATCTTTGTATTGTTTGATATTGTACTAAATCTTTTTTCGTGATACAAAAAGTATTTCAAATGTCTATAAGTGATATTGTATAGCAAATTTTTTGTCCCTTATTTTTTTTGTGTTTCTTTTGCGTTGTTGGTGAAGTAATGGGTGACTATATACTCTCAACAAATTTGGTATTAGAGAAATATTTGTGGCTATATAAAATGTAATCACTCATAGTCAGAGGATTAAGCTAAAAAAAATTAAAATGGTTCCCAAACACCTTGGGCCTGAATGTAATCTAAATGAAGCATTGGCCAACACAATACTAATTGGAAGAAAGATAATACTTTGCACGAGGAAGGCTTATTTGTGTGAAAGACAGTTTTCTAAAACTGTCTTACAAGATAAAGAATGTAAAATTCAAGCGCAAGTTGTCGCAAAATAATAAAACTCGGAAGTCTGAGATCATACCACAAGGAATTGGGAAAGAATTAAAACACAAGAAAAAATAAAATAAAAATACTTTAAAAATTATTGTAGAGATTTGTTTGTTCAAAAGAACAAAAATTGTTTGGTTAACAACATGAATTTGAAATACTAAACCATCGAGGATACTCTTCCAATTCTATACGACAATTATTAATGATTCAGTTTTTGAACTCAATTGAGAATTAGTTGAGGAATGATCCTAATCAAAATATTTAGTGGTTGATTAGTCTCAGATATTGTGTTATTTTGATATTTATTATTTGCTAATTACGTTGGGTAAGGTATTAATTGTGTTGAATTAATTGTGATTTGGATATTATCTTCTCTTTCTAGTGTTTTGTCTAATTTTGCAGGTAAAATAGTGGAATTAATGATGTGAAGGATAAACTACATAAATGGAGGAGATCCATATCAATATGAATTAAAAAGGAGCATCTACCTAACTCGTTTGGACAGTGAAAGAGGAGCGTCTGGACGGAATTTCCAACAACTACAAAGAAAAATTTGAAGGCTCATGTCTAGACGGAAGAATATGAGTGTTCAGACGGGTGTTGCTTAGAGGCCAAGACACCCATGCGCGTTTGAATGGAAGAATACAAGCGTCTAGACGCGTGTTGGAATCTGTCCAGTACCACAAGTTGTTAATGAGAACTAGGTTTTTTCTACCCCATTGACTGTATAAAGGGGTGTAGTTTTACATTGTATTCAACAGTTTATCAGCCTTTTCTCTTCTAGTTTATTGTATTATTTTTATAGTCGGCTAAAAGTCTAATTAAAGTCAAGGGAGATACTTTCAATAAAAAATGGTATATATTTTTTGATCTAATGATTTTAATGCTTGATTTAGTCTTTTAATTCAATTCTTGTCTTCTAGTAAATTTTTTGCTCTGTATAGTTTCTTAATTCGTTGTGTCACGTACATCAAATGTTTGAGATTTCATATGAGTCTAATAACTGGTTATTTAATGCTTGAGTTGATTAATTAAAATTTTTATAAGATAATTGATCTATTATTTAAATAAATTTAGGATTTATCTGTTAGAGAACTTAATTTATCGTAGATTCTGGGCACAATGAATGCTTAAAATCTGCATGTGAATTCTTAGATTTATTTGGATAATTTATTGGTTATAACTTTTG